AGTGTGGGTCATTTAAATAAATATTTTAAGTGGGACCTGAACAAAGACGAAGGTGAGACACGGTGGTAATTTATTCTGCTATTACTAATTTTCAAGCTGTTAAAGAATTTGTTTTCAAGCAACTTTTTTCGTGAGGGAATTTTTGACAGTTGGGTTCTGTTTTTGTTTGAAATCCTCCAGGACCGACCATGGCTGAGACTGCAGCTGCTCCCGCATCCAAGCCCAAGAAGACGAAAAGCTCCAAGAAAGCGACGTCGCATCCCAAATACTCCGAGATGATCAAAGCGGCCATCGTAGCCGACCGGAGCCGCGGCGGCGCGTCGCGTCAGTCCATCCAGAAGTACGTGAAGAACCACTACAAGGTGGGAGACAACGCCGACTCCCAGATCAAACTCGCCCTGAAGCGCCTGGTGGCCAGCGGGCTTCTGCGACACACCAAGGGCATCGGAGCCTCGGGCTCCTTCAAACTGGCCAAAGCCGAGGACGCCAGGAAGCCAGAGAAACCCAAACCAGCACCCGTGAGAGTCAAGAAGCCAGTCAAAGCCGCTGCCAAGCCCAAGAAAGCCCCCAAGCCCAAGAAAGTGGCGAAATCCCCTAAGAAAGCCGCCGTAAAGAAAGTGAAGAAGGCAGCGGGGAAGAAGAAATCGCCTGTCAAAGCCAAGAAAGTTGTGAAGAAGGCGAAGGTGGCCAAACCTGCCAAGACGAGCAAAGCCAAGAAGGTGAAAACGGCCAAACCCAAACCCAAACCCAAACCCAAGACAGCGGCCAGGAGAACGGGCAAAAAGAAGTAAATTCAAATCGTTAGGACTGATTCATTCGAAACTCAGTGTAAATACACTTTTTGAAGCAAATGTTTTTGGTATATTGTTATTTTTGTAAGGTTTTTTGTCTTTGTGCGCGGACTTCAACCCCACATTTTTACAAGCGTGTTTCTCCAGAAACGGTTTTTGTGCGCATTTGTGATTCTATAAAGATCCCAGACATCGAAACGGCTAAACTCTTATTTATTTTTAAGATTTCTTTCTGGACTTTTTTCTTTTTTTCTTTATAAGCTGAACTTTTCTGCACACTATTATTATTATTATTCACACATAATAATTAATTTGCCAATTAGATATGACGCTAGAAGATATATTCCTACTGTAACGTTAGGTCACTCTAGGAAAGTGAAGAACGAGAATACAGCCTCATTGTATGAAGAACGGTGCCCTAACTGATGACGATGTACTGAATCATCTTGTGACGTGGACTGTTGTAGTCTAGTTCCATTGCTGTCCATATAATACTGTCATTGCGCGTTATCCGCATTACTGTGCACCAATAAACTTCTCATTGCAAGCAGAACTTTGTCTAGTGTTTTACTGCAGCACCATGGAGAGCACAGATAGTAACGTGAGTTTAAACGGGTACCATGGCAGTGGTCTTCAGAGAGCGCACTTTCCAGCAGACGAGAGCAAAAGGTGAAGCGCATCTTTGGTTTGGACTCTCTGCTGCTCCGCGGTGTTTGATCTGAGAACTGCAGCTGTCAGCGTCATGCTGGGGTAAATGCAAATGCTTCGCTGAGATCAATAGAATTCATAATTGAATATAATGATGATGAAAAATATAATCGAAATAAAAACTATTTCAAGAAAAACTATTTTTTTAAGACTTGCAATATTGCAAAACTTGTTTAAATATGAAGTCTTTACAACTTGGCTTCATTAAATATGGATAATAAACAAAGTGGTTGGAAATTATCTTTCTTAATGATATACGTAGGTACTTAAACTAAAATAAAGTTAATTGTAGGCTACCAAAAGACAAGACACTGAAAAAAAGGCCAAATTGAGGGCCATAAAAAAATAAAAAGGTAAGCTATAACCCTGATATTAAAAGTATTTAAATATAACATTTTCATATTACATTAACTTATAACAGTGAACTCAAAAAAGCAAAAAATAAACATATAATAAATAGTGACCTATTTTAGCATCTAAAATATACACTTTCCTTATGCACACACGATGTGAGATATTTTTCCAGCTGACCCTCAAACATTTTATTATAATGAAATATTTCAGACTTCTGTCTCCAATCAAATGCAAATAAATGACTCTACAAAGTCAGATTTGTAGCTCAAGACGCTCTTTAAAACATAAAATTATGCTGGAGAACATGATTATGGCACTCAAATAAAATTCCCTAAATTTCCAAATATTTTCATAATTCAACTACTTATGCTGATCATTGTAAATATGTATTAAATGAAAAAGAATGCACTTTCACTAGCAGTCTCAGACTTTTGGACCCCACTGTACAGTACACATATTTTATCCTTTATGTTGAAAACAAGTAAACTATCCAAAACTCACCTCAAGCATCTCTGATCTGCTCTATGTATATTGCATAATGCTCCTGAAACGTGATGCTGTATCCAGTCTGAACAGTAATGAGATACGGGCTCACTGATACAAGAGGGCCTGCTGCAAACCTCCAGGACCTGTCTGACACATTCATGCATTAAAACTCTATTTATGTTACAGAAGTATATGAATTGGCTAAATAATGGGATAACCTAACCTAATAGAATAACACAATGTGTATTGTACAGATAATCAGCCAATCAGCTGCTTGGGCTGAATCATATGATCAAGTGAATTGCACTACCGTAAAAAATGACTGTGAATTTAACGGTAAAAGACTGTAAAAATGCTACAGTAAAAACCTGTTAAATGGTCAATGATAAATTCCCCTATTATATACGGTGAAAAACTGTATTGGACATTACATGTATTGGACATTAATTTTACGGTAGTATACCATTTTTGGAAGTGAAAAAGACTGTATAATTTACAGTGAATAACCGTAAATTGACATTCCCAGAATTCCATTTAAAATGTGATGTTTTTGGTTGAAATAACTAAGTTTCTT